ATATCATAATTACTTGTTATCTTAATTATTTCAAAGCATGCGGAAATCATACATTTTGATAAAAAAAAAACTTTTGGTATTATTGCTTGTTGTTTGTTCTAAACAACTATTCATTTGTGCTCACTATAACATTACAACGGCTCACAATAGCAATTTATGACAGAATGGGCCAATTGGCATTACATGTCATGGGACATACCAAAAATCAAAATGTCAGATGAGGCTAGTGTGGCAGATGCAGTGTGACATTAGCAGATACATTGGGAGTACCATTAGATTGATGTACTATCAAAAAAGTAAGAGGGCACCATCAGAGACATGTATAAAGCTTGACAGATCGAACATATTTTTTGATAATTTATTGTAAGCTTTGATGTGGTCCGTTTGAACTGTTGTTGGTGTCAAATGAAAGATAAGGTTCTTATCTATACATTGGACATACTATGAAATTCAAATGTAAGTCTTTATTTTGCCCAAAACGTTGAAAATATGCAAAGTGGGCCTTGAAGGAATCTTTACGATTTTTCTTGTGTAGATAGAGTGTTTAATCGATAAAAGATCGTTACTTGGATAGTATCAACAACTTTGAGATTTAGAAATATCACGATTTCCGTCCGGGAATGCTCTCGATGAAATCGTCAAAAATGTTTAAAAATAGATTTTTCTGAAATCTTGGATTTATGTCTTAGCCATTACTTGAGTGATTTCTGGATTGCTTTCTCAGCTTACACATTATTATCTTCGATATGTCATATCTAGTATCTACAGATTTCCGTAGATAACTCTGTCTTTGATTAACTGACTCGCTCCAGGGTAAAACTTGGAGACTGCTCCGTGAATCCTATAAAGATGTCAAAAATAAGGTCTTATTTGGTAAGTCAAATGGTGATAATTTTGATAATGAACTTATGAAAGATTTTGAAAATGACACTCCAATCACAGGTAACAACCCTTAGAGTGACTGGTATAGTGCTCCCACATGCCTGAAACAGGGCTGCTGCTTATCCCCTATGCTTTTTTCCTTCATAATGACAGAATTAATTGAGATGCTACATTCAGAAAACACAGGAATACCTTTTGATAACGAAAATGTCCCTGCTCTGCTTTTTGCAGATGATATCGTCCTTTTGGCCGAATCTGAAGGGGAATTGAACAAAATGTTGCAAATTGCAAATAAATTTTCACCAAAATGGGGCGTTAAATATAGCCCAAAAAAGTCAAAAGTAAGCGCATCAATAAAGAAAAAAAATTGGCATCTTGGTGATCTTCAACTAACTGAAGTTCAAAACTATAAATATCTGGGGGTCTACTTTGATAGAACATTAAAGGACACCTATCACATAGGTGCCTTCCTTAAGCCAAAAGCTAAACGCATGCAAGGCATGTTGTGCTCAACTCCGAGTAAACACTGTAATGCAAAGCGCATAAGCTTTGGTGATACTACAGGGTGACAAAAAAAAACTTGAACCCACTTAAGTCTTGATAACTTCGTCAATAATGCATATTGAGCTTAGTTATTGGGTACATGTATAGTCAACTGAATGTATGACAAGATGATAAAGTTTTAGCATTATAGCTCAATTAGTCTCCAAATGAGGCACGATTAGATAATGTGCTCCAAATGTGCAACACAACGTTGGATGCAGAGCTGGATTCTTCTTGCAAAATTGTCCATGACCCGACTGCATTCATATCTGTCTATCTCTCTAATTAGTCTTCCAATGCTGAGTTTGAGGTCATCAATGGTCAGTGGACTATCTGTATACACATTATCCTTGAGATACCTCCACAGATAAAAATCTGGGGGTTCAAATCAGGGGAGTGGAGGGGGGGCAGATGTGGCGGGTATGGTGACTGATTAATTGATCACCAAAGTGAGCCTGAAGCCATCGAATGGACTCATTTGAGGTGTTGGGTGTGGCACCATCTTGTTGGAACCATTGCTGGTCCCTTCTCAAGTCACGTCGTCTACCCAGCGCTCTCCAAAACTTTTGAACGTTAGGAATGTAACGTTCTGAGTTGACTGTTGAGTTGTCTTGAGTTCTGACAGACCTCTCTCTCCCCAAATAGGTTGGTTTACCATCACTTTTCTTCTTTGTTGGTTTTACAGTTCCTTCTGAATCAAACTTCTGTACAAGCCTAAAGATCTGTGACTTGCAAGGGGCTCTTCTTGCCCTGTGATCTCTCATATAGGCAGTTTGTCTTTTTGTCTCGATATACTTTCTCACAATATAAGTATTTTCTTCTGTCGTCCATGGCATGATTAATATCTAAGCTACAGTACTCATTATTATGTCATTTTGTCATGCATTCAGTCTAGTTTCTACCCTGAAGAAATGAAGAATGAGGTATAATACTTTCTGAGAAATTTTATGATTTATGGGTTCCAGTTTTTTTTTGTCACCCTGTATATATAATTCAATGTTTGTACCTGCAATTTTGCATGGTTGTAGTACCTTCGTATTGAACAAATCAAATTGCAAAACACTTGCTACCTTTCAATATAAGATAGGAAAATCGCTATTACAACTCAAGTGTAATCCTGCTAAGGAGGCCCTGTTCGGTGACTTGGGATGGAGGCCTATATGTAATGTCATAGAAAAAAGAAAAATTGACTATTTTATCTACTTAAAGAGCTCTCTTAAAGCAGGGCTCCACAAGAATATTTTCAATTATATGTTTGAGGACTTTAAAAAGGGAAATACAGCCACCTGGTCTTATTTTTCTAGCATTAAAGATATTTTGACCAACCATGGTTTAGACGATGTAATATACAGAGAGGACACAGATTGGTACTCGTCATATTTGAAAATATTTAATGATTTGTTACGCAATACATTTTTTGACTCGATAAACCAGAAAAAGTCACTTACAGTATATAGTAATATTAAAAGAAACACACTTATGGAAAATACCTTAAAACTGATTTTGACTTCTATGCTCAAAAACTTAAATTCAAGGCCAGATCAGGATGCTTTGGTCTCGCCATTGATCTTGAGAGATGGGGTATAAGTGATGGAATGTGTTCTTTTTGTAATATGAGCTGTAAAGAAACTCCTGAACATCGATTTTTACCTGCCCAAAGTTTAAAGAGGAAAGGTTTACATTTTATAATAGCATTGAGAATAGACTTCCACACATTTATAATTATTTTAAGACATGCATTCCCAATAATGGTTTAGAATGGGTGCTTGGGGATGCGGCATATGTTATCTTGGGTCAAGAACAAGGTTATATTTTTGATGCATGCTCAAAGTATTTTATCAAAAACATATATGTAGCACCAACAAGTTAATGTATTGCAAATGTTTTAGTTTTGTTTTAATGTCTTATTGCGCAAATGTTTTTAGCTCTGCTTTAGAATTGTACTTGTACACATGTATTGTATGTTTTAACTGCTGCACTAGTTTAACTATGTGCCACTGATCTAAACGTGATTGCAATAAATTAATTAAAAAAAGTGGGTGGAAACATACTATTGTCGCTGTAATTCAAAGAATCGCCTATACAGACGTGACAATATTAAGACTCGTCGCTTGTATTTTTGCTTGTACATTACGCCAGTATTTTCCGTTTTGTACGTTATTAACGTCTATATGAAAACACATGCCTGTAGTATTCATTTTGGTAGATTTGAAAACCATTGTGTCCCGTTTCAAGGAGGATTGGCTCCCAGGATCGAAACTCGATATTTTCCAACAATGAAAACGTCGAAATGTCGTTATTTTCTGAAATTAAAACCGACTATAAATTCAAAATAAACAGTTCAAAAGATTCGAACCAATATCTCGATCATTTCTTGTGAGTTTTGGAATTTTTCGTTTGGAAATAAGACCAAAATTCACGATTTAAATGTTGAAGTGAACAAAATGGCGGCTGTTTGAATTCGAATTTTGTATTACGACATACCCATATATGGGACAGAATATCGGTGGTGCACTCTGGGAGCCAATCCTCCTTGGTCCCGTTTCAACTATTGTTGCGAAGACAACCCCTGGTATCTAAAGGAATATGCAAATGATGACACATACACAACCAAAACATATCTGATACTTCAGTATGGTGCCATACCTGCATTAGAGAAATGTGAATATGTAAATGTTTAAAATGAGTTATATTCATATTCTCATTTAAGAATACTGGAATAAGGAATTGGGAGGGAGAGTGGAAAAAATTGAAAGTAATCCTTGCAAATGTTAATGTTTTTCCTGCCAATGATAGCCATTAGGTGAGGTAAAAGTTAACATAAGTGAGGCAGTTGCCTCGCTTGCCTCATGTCTGGCTTGCCTCTTTCTGGCAAATGTCTGTTGGGCAAATTGAGGGAGGATTTCAAACCAGGTGTTTTTAAAGACTAACAACAAATATCACTAATGAGCTCTAATGAGCAAACAGGCAGGGGCAACTAAAGGGCTGTGTGTTAAGCCTGTTCATCAGAACCAAATGAACCGATCTGACCATGTGTCTGTAAGTATTTTCAATGTTTAAAAATGTTCTTTGTCTCGCGTCCTAGGCACCCATCTCACATATACCTACTCTCAATACTCTGACGATCTGATGACTTTTGTAAACTATCTGCAATACTGAGAGTCGTCCTTTGTTAAAATATCCAAGCCACTGATAAACTTAACCCAAACTTAACAACCTAACTGAGATGAGTTCCCGTTTCCTCTAGCGTGAGGTCCATCTTGAGTGCATGTGTTCATAAACACATCTGCTCTAGATCTGTGTTCTTTGATTGCAACTTATTTTTCTTACTGTTTTGTCTTTATATGAACTGCCTGAAAACCTACAAATCTTGTCTTCACAATTCAGGCAGGATTCATATAGGGATATTTTATAATTCCTGACCTGCCTGTGAGCAGGATTTAGTGGTTCAAATGTTATCATGAAATTCATCATGCACTGAAGAATAATATTTTCAGAAACCCACGTTTAACCGTTTACTAGACTATAATAGATACTAGCCTTTATATTATGATAATTTGCAATATGAAATAATAGAGATTTTAGAAACGTAAACGTTTAAATTACACGTTTAAAAAACTAAGTATAGCTTAAATGTAAAAAATGAGCAATATATTGGTTACTTATGATGATCGGTAATGCTTTGCGTTGATTGGCCAGAACACGTCTATAAGACGTACAGTTCATTGCTGCATTGTTTCCATGGTTGCACTACAGCTTTAAGTTACGATTTACATATTGCCGTTATCCACACGAGCTACGTTTAAACTTGAGTCCATTGGAAACTTTTCCATGTGATCGTCTTCCCCCTTCGCCCAGTCCTGGACTTCACCTTTTGCAAAAATCAGGAATACCAGAAGTCCAAATAAGTAAAATCCTGTACAGATGTAAAACACAACTTGCCATTCTGCCGCCGTCCCCTGGAGTAACACATATTATTATTTTCATGTAACAAAATGTTCAGCCTTCAGTCAGTTCATTTCAAGAAAGTGGTAAGTAAATTTGAGATTACTTTTGAAGTTGCCAAGTATAATTTAAATGAAAAGATGAGAACCAGTCCATTAGTTTATAGAGATTACAATGAGTTTACAAACACAGTTGAGTCCTCTTATAGTTTTCTAGATTTAGTTCGAACTACTTGGGTTGTATTTTTGTATACCCACGGTGCTAGTGAATTGCGTAATATTTTAATGAGGTTTCGCACCAGCAGGTATCAGTAGAAAGAACAATATATAAGCCCTGCAGTGCAAATTACATTCCCGTGTGTTTTCAACAAAGAAAAACTCATTCAAACGCACTAACACAATTCTTTCGACAGACATCACGGTTTAGTGCAATCGAACTCCTGTGGTACACTAGCGAATAGGCGACAAAGTCGGTTAGCCGATAAGATTGACACATCATAATTAGCGTTGTAAGTACGCTTGAATGAGCTGTGATTGTTAAAAACGTGTAACAATGTAACTTGCACTGCAGTGGCTTATTTGTCTTTTTCGTGATACCCAGGGGGAAAACTTATATATAAGCTGATATATATAATCATACAACTACTATGCAATTGACTTGCACCGCGAGGAGTTCAAAAACGCAGCCATAGTGTCTTAATTCTGTGTGTATCTTTTTGACTCCCACATCAAATTGACATACTATAGTTTATAAAACAAATACAATATTGCTATCTAATAGCATGAAAGTATAAAAGTACAGTGTATGAAATCGTTTCGAGGTACATTACGTACTAAACTCACATTTGTTGTTATTGCACCCACAATCATAGGAGAGAAGATACCCGGCAGAGTGGCCGCAGTATTTGTGATTCCAAACAACACGCCTGCAAATCTGAAAACATAAAACGTCAAAAGACAATTCCGAAAATTCACGCTTAACTAATACCTGTTGTTGCTCCTACAATCATAGGAGAGAAGATACTCAGTACCCGGCAGAGTGCCCGCAATATTTTTGATTCAAAACAACACGCCTGCAAACCTGAAAACATAAAACGTCAAAAGACAATTCCGAAAATTCACGCTTAACTAATATCTGTTGTTGCTCCTACAATCATAGAAGAGAAAATACCCGGCAGAGTGGCCGCTGTATTTGAAAAAATAAAACATCTGGGAGTACACCGGACATGAGGAAAACAAGCCCCGGATATCCCAAACAAAGAAATAACGTTGAAAGCTTTGTCAAATACTCGAAATTCATTCGATATTACTTTTACTGTTTACGAAATTACCTCGGAGCTACATCGACATGGTTGATTAGATAAGCTGATCTCACAGCCCCCGTCAGAGTGACACCTATCGTGAGAAAAGCAACCGCCAGATATCGTCTGTCGCAATCCATAAACCCAGTTGCAAGCATAAAGATGGCTGGACCCACGAAACCTAAACGTAAATATGAGTGTTTTGCCACTAAACCACAGATAACGATACTGATTTACCTTCAGTTACATATATTGTTAAATAGAGGTGAGTCTTCACGTATATTTGACAGAGAGTGAACGTGAACATCAGTGCGCATTTTTAGATGAGTAATGAGAGTACAAACTATTGACTAAAACTAAAAAAATGATTAACAAGTTTCACATTTTAAATTCATAAACATCCAAAACCGTGAATATATCCATTGTGGTGTAATGACCCGAGGGCGCCCCGGGGGAATGTCTAACTAACGAGCATAGTGTAACAAGCCAGATAAAGAAATTAAAAGAAAGTGTGCTAAATTCAATGCCCCGCATGGGAATCGAACCTAGGACCCCTGGATCCAAAGTCTGATGCTCTACCGACTGAGCTATAAAGGCTTAAGCCACTACAGCTGGACTGTAGTAGCAACTTGCTATCAAGGGTCGTTACACTATCTCTCCCTTTGAAAGGACCACGCCCTCGTGGTCAGCCCTGCTTCCCTAGCAGTGACTACCATATACACAAGGGCGCAAAGGATACAACCAATGCTCTGATCCCACTTCTGACACCAATGTAATGACCCGAGGGCGCCCCAGGGGAATGTCTAACTAACGAGCATAGTGTAACAAGCCAGATAAAGAAATTGAAAGAAAGTGTGCAAAATTCAATGCCCCGCATGGGAATCGAACCTAGGACCCCTGGATCCAAAGTCTGATGCTCTACCGACTGAGCTATAAAGGCTTAAGCCACTACAGCTGGACTGTAGTAGCAACTTGCTATCAAGGGTCGTTACACTATCTCCCTTTGAAAGGACCACGCCCTCGTGGTCAACCCTGCTTCCCTAGCAGTGACTACCATATACACAAGGGCGCAAAGGATACAACCAATGCTCTGATCCCACTTCTGACACCAATGTAATGACCCGAGGGCGCCCCAGGGGAATGTCTAACTAACGAGCATAGTGTAACAAGCCAGATAAAGAAATTGAAAGAAAGTGTGCTAAATTCAATGCCCCGCATGGGAATCGAACCTAGGACCCTTGGATCCAAAGTCTGATGCTCTACCGACTGAGCTATAAAGGCTTAAGCCACTACAGCTGGACTGTAGTAGCAACTTGCTATCAAGGGTCGTTACACTGGCATTAAATAAAAAAGCGTTTTACCTATAGTCTGGAAAACTTTTCTAGTGGCCTCTGTTGACAGATACTCTTTTTCGCGTATGAGATCTGCCACCTGTCCACATATCACAGAGAATACCCACATACATATGTAAGGAAGGGCAGAGAGAAAACCATTCTAAAACAAAGCAGTTTTACAAATGAAATAATGCATGCCGCATGTGATTTTTGACATTAGATAGTTGTCACCCACAGTGGTTGTCACCGGTCCCTATGTAATTTATTTTGTAGCAAAGGAGTGGTATCGATATGGTGAACTTTTGGACACGGATTTCTCTTAAACCAGTAACCAAAACATTCTGAAAATTTTACACAATTGTCAATTTAATGGTCATCTTTTGGATGATAACATTATAATTTAAAATATATATAAATACTTTTTTCTATATCGTTTTAGAAAACACATCAGACACTCCTTTTGTTATTGGTATCATATGTTCGGAATTTAATGAAACATCTATCCGAACCTCATTGGAACAAAACGACATAAACACAACGTGTTTAGGTCTCTCAATATTGTAATTATACAAAGGAAAGTTTGGTTGATCTTAAAAAAGTATCTTGTTCATGAAATAAAAGGTTTATCTTAATTTTTAACTATTTGGGGGGTGTTTTAAGTTTTGAATACTTTTTGTACAATCAACCATTTCCTTTGTATAACTTTATAATATTGAGAGGTGTAATAAAATTTTGTACGAGTATATGCTATTTTGTTCCAACAAGATTCGGAAAGACATTTTATTTCATTCTCAAGAATAGGTTGAAAGGAACAAAAAACAACTGCAATAAAAAAACAAAAAATAAAAAAACTCGCATCATGAAGTGCAAAATTCGCATCATCATATTCGATTCTCATGATTTGAAGTGCAATACAGGATATATTCTGTTCGAGAATCCGTAGTGGAACGAGACGAAGTCGAGTGCCAATACAGAATATCGAGAGCAGAATTAACCTGTATTGCACTTCAAATCATTCTACAGGGTGTCCCAAAAAAAAGGAAACCAGCAATAGATTGCTTATTTCTCAAATATGAATAATGATAGGAAAATTTCACAGCTACCATCTGATAGATTATGATGTCCTCTTTCTTATGATACCAAAGTTGTCTATTTTCCTTCACGGATGACTGAGTTATAAGGGATTTAAGTGACCATGTCAGAAATGAGTTTGTACCACTTTCAGCAAAGTCAATTTCACCATCATAACAAAGTGATAAGTAACAACAAACAGGATATCACTCTTATACTCATTTATTCCAATTAAAATTACACATATCATATTTAACACCCCTTTTAAATCCCAATGTCCATTCAAAGTTGTTTTAACCCCAGTGTTGCAGTACGTGCGATGAGATCAAGGGCAGACATTTGCATTGAAAGGAATGGGGGTCATGTTGAAGGACACTGGGGTTAAAACAACTTTGAATGGACATTGGGATTTAAAAGTGGTGTTAAATATGATATGTGTAGTTTTACTTGGAATAAATGAGTAAAAGAGTGATTTCCTGATGTTTGTTGTTACTTATCACTTTGTTATGATGGTGAAATTGACTTGGCTAAAAGTGGTACAAACTCATTTCTGACATGGTCACTTAAATCCCTTATAACTCAGTCATCCGTGAAGGAAAATAGACAACTTTGGTATCATAAGAAAGAGGACATCATAACCTACCATATGGTAGCTGTGAAATTTTCCTATTATTATTCATATTTGATAAATAAGCAATCTATTGCTGGTTTCCTTTTTTTTGGGACACACTGTATATCGTTTTTATCGTGTGATCCTCTGTATTGCTACTGAGAATGTCCCCTTCGTACCAATATTTTCTGTTTTGCGACGGAGATGATCAATGGGGACATTCGCAGTAGCAATACAGATCGGAACAGCACAAGAACTGACCAATCAGAATGCTTCATTTTACAGATCATACGATAATATATTAAGTTATTGAATGATTTTAAGTGCAATACAGGATATATTCTGTTCGAGAATCCGTAGTGGAACTAGACGAAGTCGAGTGCCAATAAAGAATATCGAGAGCAGAATATATCCTGTGTTGCACTTCAAATCATTCTATATCGTTTTTATCGTGTGATCCTCTGTATTGCTACTGAGAATGTCCCCTTCGTACCAATATTTTCTGTTTTGCGACGGAGATGATCAATGGGGACATTCGCAGTAGCAATACAGATCGGAACAGCACAAGAACTGACCAATCAGAATGCTTCATTTTACAGATCATACGATAATATATTAAGTTATTGAATGATTTTAAGTGCAATACAGGATATATTCTGTTCGAGAATCCGTATTGGAACGAGACGATGTCGATTGCCAATACAGAATATCGAGAGCAGAATATATCCCGTGTTGCACTTCAAATCATTCTATAACGTTTTTATCGTGTGATCCTCTGTATTGCTACTGGGTTTGTCACTTCCGTACCAATATTTTCTGTATTGCGACGGAGATGGTCAACGGGGACAATCTCATTAGCAATACATATCGTGCAATAAAGGATATATTCTGCTCTAGCAATTCCGTATTAGAACGAGACGATGTCGAATGCCAATACAAAATTTCGAAAGCAGAATATATCCTGTATTGCACTTCAAATCATTCTATATAACGTTTTTATCGTGTGATCCTCTGTATTGCTACTGAGAATGTCCCCTCCGTTCCAATATTTTCTGTATTGCGACGGAGATGATAAATGGCCAAAGTGCCCTAATACGTCACTTCCGCTGAACAGAAAAACGTAGTTTTAAAAAATGAATGTAGTCCCAATACAATTGTGATCATGACGAGTCAGTAAGCTAGTAGGTAGGTACAGTTGTCATCTTTTTGCAATGACAACATGCCATTTCTTCTGAAAATGCGTTTATTTGGGTTATCTAAAGGAAAATTTCGAGTCAAGTGGCGTATTAATTTTGCCTTCATTTTTGTGAATTTCAATTTCTGTCGGCAGAAAGAGCGAGGGGATAGTGTCACAATTGACCAATTATTTCAAAAAGTAGATGTTTGGCTCCTATTGAGTTTAGTGTCAAAATGTAGCTTAGACATAGCTTTAGAACCTCAGATAGGCCAGTGAGGCCACATAAATCCATAACTCGAGATAAAAAGTCAGGCTTTTGCCCTTTTGCCCATTGACTAGTATGGTGACGTGAAGTAGGGCTGTTTTGCCAATGGGGACAATCTCAGTAGCAATACAGATTGGTACAGCACAAGAACTGACCAATCAGAAGGCTTCATTTTACACATCATACTATAAAAACGTTTATACTCACAGATCTTATGTCAAACTTTAAAACATCTCTCATATATAAAGGCAGGCTTGTCAATAGAGTATAGCTCCCCCAATTATTGCAGACGTGTGCAGTTATGATTGCCCATAAGGGTGGAGACTTCAGCATTGATATCCACGGCACCACAGGCGGTTCATTCTTGGATGAAGTTTGTCCTATACATCTCTCAATGTAATTTCTCTCGATTTCAGTGATGCGAGGGTGGTCACGTGGTGTGTCAAACACAAAGAAAACCCATAACAATATCCAGAGGAATGTGGCGCCACCTTGTTAAAAACGTGTCAGTTTTTATTTAGTTCTATTAAAGGAACTTATTGTGATTGATGTCATAAATTGTCAACGTTTTTTTATTGTTTTAAGCTATATCATACCTGAGACATAGAATATAAAAGGCCATCCCCGGTCAACGTTGATTGTACATAGCAAAGCCGACGTCGTTAAAGCGAGAACATTTCCAGTGATCGTTCCTGGACATAATGAGATTCATGATGCATATAATAATATACTAAATATCATTAAAATAAAAAAGTTACACGATGATTTATCATGCAAAATCTTGGAAAGTAAAATTATTACATGATCGTCTGACTACTACACAACGTCACTCATTATGAAATGCACGTTACCTGAGTAACAGAAAGACATTAGTTTACTTCTCTCCAATGGCGGGGCCCATTTTCCCCACAGCGAGTGCATGGCGGGAAACACAACTCCCTTGAGAGAATAATATAACTGAGTATTAAATTATTCAAGTTTATAAGTAATAAGGAAGCCCGGACAGCATCAAGAAGGATTGTCTCAGGATATCGAGATTGAACCCTGGGAGTCAATCCTCCTTGAACAGAAATGAGGAAATGAGACACTTATCTTCAATACTATAAACATAAAACTGCCAACAACATGTTCTATTGTCGATACGTCCCCGTTCTTCAGATAATGCTCCATTATCTATTTAAAAACACCGACTTTCAAGGTCAGATAACTTTTTCAGGCGAACTTTGATACTGTTCAAAAATGAAAGTAGCTTAATTTACTCCATCCGCCTTTGCAATTATTTCTGTCATATCTAATTTGCCTTCAAATTATACTCAATTTCAAATATCAAATCAACTTCTTTTTGAGCAATTTTGTCGAATAAGATGGACTTACTTCAAGTTGACTATTTGGTAAACGATTACCATGATATTGCTGAATTTTTGAATTATTTATTGTGCTTAATTCTTACCATTGAGTTATGGAGGTTCATTTCGTTATGGTTTCCTCCCCCTAAACATGGACATGTAGCTCATATGACGAACTTTTTAAATAATTATTAAATGTGAGCTGAACATATACTTACTGTTCCAATCCCCATGACAACCCTACAGACGAATACAATAGAGACGTGAAACCTTGCACCAACGGGTATCAACACCATAGCAACAACGGTAATTAACATCCCAAATGCGAACACTTTCTTCCCGCCATATTTATCAGCTATGATCCCAGCCGGAATTTGTGTAATTATGTAGCCATAGAAGAAAGAACTAAGCATAAAACCCTGCAGCTGCCTATCCCATGTGAATTCGCCATTCTGAAGGAAAGGAAAATTATTTGCATTATTATTGTCGTATTGACTATTACTATTACTATTTATAAGGGTTCAGCCAATCAAAATTTTAGACTCCTAACTGCATTCTTAAACACAGTGATCTCCCTAGCATTTAAGTAAGTGGGCGCAGCACCCACTTGAGATTTTGGTAATAGGCTTGCACCCACCTGAGAATCCATTTGCACCTACTTGAAAATGAAAAAAAATCACCAAAAATAGGCATATTTTGACCAATTTTGGTCTGGATTGTGAAATTAAGAATTTTGCACCCACTTGAGAATAAGTCCTGTGGAGATCACTGAAACATGCTAAAAGTTTCGATAAACTTTATGATATCGTATTTAACTAATGTTCGTGAATAATCATGAAGAATGATCATGTATCATATTGTAATTGTTTTGAGGAAAATGTGAAAATTCATTTATATGACTCCTTACTCCCACAGTACGCGTTGCTTTCAATGTCAATAGGGAGTTGAAACTTGCATTTACAATCGAAACGCCAACCTGTACGTATGACCATACAAATGCATCGCTTAAATAACTTACGTTCGCGTTTAGGTTGTGAAAAACAGTGCAAGCTTAAACTCCCTATTATCTCCGATCCTTTAAACATTTTATTATACTAAAATTGAAGTTTTTGAATTCAAACAATTCTGTAAGCCATATTTGTAACCTACCGACTCACTCTCTTCCCTAGCAACTACACTACACGAACCCTCATCAGGTGTGACGTTTGTAGGTGCTTGAGTTGTATTTACCCCACCTGTTGCATTATCAAATGGACGTTTGACCATACACACCATGGCGATTGAGAAGTTGATACGGACAACGTAAACGAACGTAAACCCAAGGAAACTGATGAGTGCGAGTGCCACACGACATGATGTCCAATAAGGTACTCCTGAAATGAAAACTATGTGTGAGAATGCAACTTATCCGACGGATGAAAATGGATCGTTTGACATTATTTGTTTGAGCAATGATCAGAAGTTATTAACTAAAATGAGCAGATGCAACCTTTTATTACGTGGAATTAAAACCCCAATATGGTGCATCACGGCATTGGGTTTTCTATATATGGTGTTTCGTGAATCTTGCGGGATGATCTACATTTGAGAAGTTTTGAAATGGCTGAAAACGGTACGGGTATTTAATGTCTTTGATTAATTTTTTTAACTACCTCGTGATAATAGAGAGGCTAAGCTACACGTTCAAATGCAAACGTGAACCTGAACGCGTAAGTTCACGCTCGAGTACATGTTTAAGAAACTTAACGTGTGTAACTATGTCCGTGGACGTGGAGGTATATATTGGTGACAGTTATTTAGGGTCATGGCTCTGGTGTAATGGTTACACTGGTGATCCGCCCGATTACGCTGGTTACCGAAACGGTTCGTTTCGGCTACAAAATGTCGGAACGTCGAAGGTACGATTTTTCTTTTTTCCTTATTTCACGCATTGTAGGCAGAATCCCCACGACATTTTTTCACAAAAACGTGTATCAGTATCATATGTTTTAGAAAGGGACATGTTTGCGAAAAGATAGCTCAGAAGACAACAGAATCGTCGATTTAAGTTCCAGAAACGGTATGGGTTAAAAGTGCAGATCTGAACTGTTTTTCGAAATAAGTTAACGTTCAAGTTTTATTAAGTACGTGAAGCTTAGCCTCTCTAATATTGCACAAACGCTCATACCCTGCGCGCAGAGTTATAAACCTACCTGAGGACGGAGATCTCATTTTAGAAGCAAAGTCGAACGAATGCAAAGGGTAAAACGCTCACTAAACTCACATGAAAATAATCAACTGACATCAAAGAACGTTCTGAAGTTAAGATTGATGGTGAAACACATCAATTGTTTAGTGAGTCACCGAAAGGTGAATGATAGTTGCAGACATGATCTTTGATAGATCTCCTCTGATCATCGATAATTAATTCGATAATTAATTCGACCTAAATCATCTTCTAATTAGCCTATGTTATCTCAAATATTAAGTTTTAAAGTACATATAGGTCAAGTACAGATAACATTACTACATAATGTGCAGAATGATGTTTCATGTCATTGTATATTCTATTTAACGTAAATGATTGATAAATCCAAGTGGGCTGTTTTGTAATGTTATACTCTTCTTTTGTATTGTAATGACCTTTGTAAACTCACCATAAATAACAATAAAAGTAAACTAAATTATCGGAGTTAATTGAATAGAATTGATAGTATTCGTAGAGTGACAGGGAGAAATGTTTACAAGTGAGAAAAGGTAAATAGAAGGAAACTTTAATTACATCACTCGATAAAACATATCAATTTGATATGGAAAATCCAGAGATATCGCCAATTACTTCAAAGTAGATACATCATCCCCACAAACTTGAATTAGAGCGTTCTTGCATATTAGATAAAGCTAATATATGCTTTTTGAAATTTGACCCTGCATATGCTTTAAGTATTGTGCAAGAGCAAATGTTAGATTCGAATATATATGAATGTTATAAATGAATATGTCTGAAAGTATTTCTTACCATATAATGTTTTGCCTTCATTGTCCCGGTCCTCAAAAACATAATTTCCTTTTTTGTTCATCGTTTACCTTTTCGTTTTGTTCAAATCAAGGCCAAATAAGTAGCGTTATGAATATGTCTGAAAGTATTTCTTACCACATAATGTTTTGCCTTCATTGTCCCGGTCCTCAAAAACATAATTTCCTTTTTTGTTCATCGTTTACCTTTTCGTTTTGTTCAAATCAAGGCCAAATAAGTAGCGTTATGAATATGTCTGAAAGTATTTCTTACCATATGATGTTTTGCCTTCATTGTCCCGGTCCTCAAAAACATAATTTCCTTTTTTGTTCATCGTTTACCTTTTCGTTTTGTTCAAATCAAGGCCAAATAAGTAGCGTTATCTTAGTGTAAATATGGGGGCTCGTCCTATTGTACTGGTTCAGTGTTTATTGTCAAACGCTGAAGTATGCTTAGGTAAGAAATGACACTACTGTATAGTCTGTATGTGGAGGTCACATTATCTGAGATAATATACATTTTACGTAACTTGCCATAATCGTCTATTCAAAATGGCGACTACGATTTGTCCGTTTTAAACGAGAGGTGACGTTTGTATTGTTCAATTTTAAGTAGAGTTAATCACCCACAGCGATTTCCTTCATAACTGAAGTTCACGACTCAACTGTAACTTTTCCAATTGAGGAAGGAAGTGGCTGAAACCGTCTCTCTAGAAATCAATTTATCATTAAAGGTTGTTATCGTTTTTCTCTTCGTCCCTCCTGAAGTAACATATATCACTGAAGTACCTTGTGTCTCACTGATAATGAGAGATATGAACCAATGGAGGACATTTCCCATGATGCACAGGTAATAAGACATAGTAGCCATAAGGAGGACTCCTACATTTATGTGTACCGTTTTCTTACGGCGACCTGCTTTACTTATAATTTCGTATCATACATTAATCTTGTCCAATTATCTTTGCCCAATGTATATGAAAAGATGTTTAGATTTATGACACCATTATCATTACAAATGATTTTATAATTATATTGCCAAAATAGCAGAATTATCTTTTAGAGAGGTGAGCTTCTTAATTTACTTGCCTCAATTTTAGAAACTGGCACTGTGCAAAAAGCCAAATATAGTAGCGTATGAGTGGCAAACTATTTGTGAATATAGTTCAGTATGTCCTCACTATATTGTATTCGGTATGGGAAACAAACTATTCTTGCCTCAGAAGCTGTTTCTTAATGCTGACAAACGTCTGATTAACTGACACTGTGCAAAAAGCCAAATATAGTAGCGTATGAGTGGCAAACTATTTGTGAATATAGTTCAGTATGTCCTCACTATCTGGTGAGAATACAATTGTATTCGGTATTGGAAACAAACTATACTTTGAACATCATAAATAACGCACCAAATTGAACGTTGCTAATGCACCAAATTGAACTTTTTAATATACTGATGAACTTGGAGCGCATCACATACTATGTCCCATTGAAACATACTCATGAGCCAAGTTTAACCTTTCAATGTAAGGATGCACTTTGAACATCATAAATAACGCGCCAAATTGAACTATGATAATGCGCCAAATTGAACTTTTTAATATACTGATGAACTTGGAGCACATCACATACTTTGTCCCATTGAAACATACTCATGAGCAAAGTTTGACCTTTCAATATAATGATGTATTTTGAACATCATAAATAACACGCCAAATTGAACTATACTAATGAGCCAAATTGAACTTTTTAATATACTGATGAACTTAGAGCATGTCACAGACTATTCCCAAATTGAAACATACTCATAAGCCAAGTTTAACCTTGTAATACAAGGATGAACTTTGAACATAATAAATAACGCGCCAAATTGATCTATACTAACGCGCCAAATTGAACTTTTTAAAATACTGATGTACTTGGAGCACATGACATACTATGCCCCAAATTAAAACATACTCATGGGCCAAGTTTAATCTTTCACTGTAAGGATGTACTTTGAACATCATAAATAATGCGCCAAATTGAACTATACTAATGCGCCTAATTGAACTTTTTAAATTGAACTTTTTAATAAACTGATGTACCTGGAGCACATCACATACTATGTCTCAAATTGAACATCATAAATAATGCGCCAAATTGAACTATGATAATGCGCCAAATTGAATGTTTATCCAAAATATATATACGCAAAACTATATCAATACATGAAAATATGTCCCCCCCCTCTTGCCTAGTAGTGCTACTAAATAAGTTGCTTGCAACAGAGTTATATGACCAAGGTTTACTTGGTTGACCTTCTGAGCATTACACAGAATTCAATCATATGTATGAGTCAGATGCATAATTACTCTCTTAGATAAACAAAATCAAAATGAAACCAAAAATAAAATGCAAAGCTTCCTGTGTTGATGCAGAATAACAGGAAACCCTAGATATATTATGGTGATGATTTAAACTAACACATAGGTTCCTGGAAGTCAAAATCGACATACAGATTCTTCCTTGTTGGATCTCAAGGGATGCATGATTTTCAGTTTCGTTTCAACCAACCGACCAGATACTAGTATTAAATGTTATATGAGAACTAACTTTTATCATGTGGTTAAGTTTCAAACAAAATACAAGTTTTTGAAATGAAGCCCTGGTCAACTTCCCTGTTAGTTTTAAACGGATGTTCTTTCATTTTCGTTTCAACTTATGGCTCATCATCACCCTAGACATATTTTCAAAGAAACCTCTACATCCCAGAAGGGATTTAATCTGAGACCCAGGAATACGTTAAAAATGTTTTAAAAGTCCCCTAGTGTACTGAGTTGGTAATGCGCGGTGTATACATGTATATTATACTGACTTTTACTATATTACTTACATCGAATAAGAATAAGACTGATTTTTTATTAATGACTGTATACCCGGGCCTCGGGATTTCATGTTATAGGATGACTAATCATATGATAAAGATTACAAAAATTTGAAACGGATATTATCAGTGACTTGAATCCTTGTTAGTTTGTAACAGATTTCATTTTTGTTTCAACCCATGACTAATCACCCTAGATATACACTCCCCTCCATACGTTTAGCAAAACAAATATTAATCATACCTTTAAAAATAAACTTTATTTCATTTTTGTTTCAACCCATGACTAATCACCCTAGATATACACTCCCCTCCATACGTTTAGCAAAACAAATTTTAATCATACCTTTTAAAAAATCAACTTTTTGACCATTCGAAGGTCACTAAAGGTCAACTAATGGTCAAAGGTCTTTAAGAGACATGGAAAACACCGTTTGTGATGTAATTTAATGACCTTGACCTTTGACCTTGGAAATCCTACTTTTTTAGACCTCAGTAGTTTTTTTGTAATTAAATATACCAAAATTCAAATCCAGAAAATCAATTTGAAAAATAAACTTTTTTGACCTTTTGAAGGTTACTGAAGGTCAAACAAAGGTCAAAGGGCAGAAGTAATGTCAAATTTGAACTCCCGAGATCTTGTAAATGACTTAAAAAAGAAAGGTTTGATCAATTTGAAGCAATGTGAAATTTGACCTTGAAAAATTTCAAAATTTCACCTTTTTCCAGTTTTTGAACTCTAATATCTCAAAATTGGTGCAAAATTTTAATAGTCAATTGCTAATATGCGTATAACCTTTAGAGGAATAAACATCCTGAAGGTAGTATCATAATAGTATTCAATTTAGAGGATATATTAAACATCACTATCAAAGGTACGACACAAAGGGCAACATATTGAAAACACAAAACCTAGGTATTCAGCTCAAATACTAAAAATCTAGTTGTGACTTTCCAATATAGGATATTTATTTGGCATTTTCAAAGAATAATTCAATTGAAGCTAAAGGTATAAAGTCAAATGATTGCTTTTTAAAATTGAAAAGGGGCATGTAGGATAGTTTTTGTCAGTTTTTAACCCATTGTTTTGCTATCAACAAGTGGACGTATTTTTAATCTATCCATTGTATAACATATATATATAACATATAAAATATTTTAGTTTGACTTAGTATGAGAGCTAGCTTATAAGCAGTGTCCCGTCTTTCAGCAATATATCATCTTTTGGGACAGGCATCAAAAATAGATTGACCCTTTTGTTTCTTTTGGTGAGAACCACCTTACAAGCAGTGTTCCTTTAAACAGCTACATGGATATTGATTTAGTCCCTCACAATATATATCACCTTCAGGGGTAGGCAATTGAATGAAGAATCAAAAAAATTGACTCATTAGCCTCTTTGGTTGAGAACTGCCTTACAAGCAGTGTCTCTTTAAATGGATAAATGGATATTGATTCAGTCCCTCAGCAATACATCACATTCAGGGGCAGGCATGACTGATAAATCAAAAGTATATTGACCCTTTGATTGTTTGTCAACAATATTTTAGTGTTCTTTGGTGAGAACTACCTTACAATCAGTGTCCCTTTAATGGCTAAATGGATATTAATTCAGTGTCTCTTCAACATATCATCTCCAGAGATAGGCATGACTGATGAATCAAAAGAAGATTGACCCATTTGATTCTTTGTTTAAAACATTTTAGTGTTCATTATCATGAGAACTACCTTACAAACAGTGTCCCTTTAATGACTAAATGGATATCAATATTCAGTCCCTCTGCAACGTATCCTCTTCAGAGACATGCATGACTGATAAATCAAAAATAATTTGACCCATTTGATACTTGTCTGATAGTTTGTTGCCTTGGTGTCTGGCAGATCCAATATGGCCTCCTTTTTGAAACTAAATGTTTTGCTATACTTTCACATTGTATATCTTCCGCAGCCAGGACCCTCTTTCATTTTATGTTTGAACTCTGCAATTATGTCAATACTAAACAATAAAGGTGAAATCAGAGGGGGTCTGACCTGCGAAAGCATCTCAATATGTCAGTGACTGCAGAAGGTCATTCATTCTTAAAAACAAGAACACAATAGGGTGCCTTTCGAAACAATAGGATCATAAAGTATCTGTGCATGGTTGATCTACCTAGTGAAGGTTATTATGCTCAGACACAATGTAGTTTTATACTGACAAGTCAATTTAAGTGTGTCTTCAAAAATCAAGATTTTATTCAAGGTTTTGTGAAAATATGTGAAAATTACTCATGTTAAGAGTCATATAAAATTCCTTTCCCGGTAAGTTCAACCTAGCTCCAGTTTAATTTGAAGTGGGAAAAACAAGATGGCTGCCATTTGATGTAAGAAATATCAGAAAAAAAGTTGCTTCACTTTAGTTTTCACAATGAGCACATTTTTCCGGTTTAGGTTTTTGACTGATTCTGACTCTTCATCATCAGGGTTATGTATAGAGATTATAAAATTGAAACCAAAATGTTGTGCTCAGCATGAATTTGACTGAAATATGTGTAACTTCACCAACACAATTGAAGTCTCAAAACTGGATGCTCAGTAACTTTGAGTGACTATAATCCCTTGATTACCCAGATAAACACCAATTCACTTATCCAGAAATACCA